GTCTCCCCGGCTGTGGGGGAGGTGACGAGTCGAGGGCAAAACGAGCACCCCCCCACCCCGAATCCAGTGCAGCTTCCGCGCCATGCCTGTGTCCTACCATCAGGCCTTGTCCTTCGCAGGCCCCCCTCCTTGGGCACGGTGCCTGGACTTCGGGGAAACAGAGGCTCAGCCGGCCTGCGAAGGGTTAAAGCTTCTGATCCCGTCCCCAGCCCCACGCCCTGTCAGCCCTAGCTGGGGCTGCGGGACACCTCTCCCCACCTTCTCCACCGCCCTCTCCTGCCTGCCTTCCCCATTCAGTCACGTAATGGCCTGGGCTGCTCCCTGGCCTGAGGGAACGCTCACGAAACCCACTTCAAGTGCCGTACGTTGATGAAAGAGTTGTGATCACTATTTAACAGGAGGACAACTGAGGCACAGAGGAGCCAAGTTAAAGATACCGGGTTAGAGATACAGCAAGAATAAAGCAGGCTTGAACTCATTTTTGTCTGACCTCAGACCAGGCATAGAACGCGTACTGAGGGCTTGCCACGTATCAGATACCACATTACCTGCATTATTAGCTCCCTTAATCCTCAAACACCCCAAGGAAATGGGTACCATTATTCTTCCCATTTTACAAATAAACTGAGGCCCAGAAAGGGGAAGTGACTTGGCCAAGGTCACACAGCAGGTAGGTAGCATGTGCCCACTTACAGCTTTCCATGGATGAAGGGAAGAATAAGAATGGATTTTGATGTGTCTTCCAAAAGGGACAGTCTCCGCTGCATTGACGAAGCCCCAGACACTGCCCTCCTAAAGTCTAGTGGGTTGACAAGTGTCTGGGTCTTTTGAGAAGGGGGGACATTGCTCTTCTCCCAGTGCCTTCCTTTCTTAGTCTTAGAGAGTGGTGGAGATGTATCTGATGTTACCCACCTCCTTAAATTTCGTATTTACAATCTAGTAGGGTTCTAGAGCAGTCCCTTGGTGACTCAGATGGTTAGGTGCTCAACCACAACTGAAAGGTTGGTGGTTGGAACCCCCCCAGAGGCACCTGGGAGGAAAGACCTGGCAATCTGCTTCCGAAAGGACACAGCCATGAAAACCTCATGCAATGCATTTCTACTGTAACACACCTGGGGTCACCATGAGTTAGAATCGCCTTGGGTTTCGTGTTCTAGACTATAGCTCTGGAGTCAGATGATTTGGCAGTTAGCTATTGCCACAATAATGCTGCATAACAAACCAATCCCAAACTTAGTGTCTTAGAACACTAAACATTTAGTTAGCCCTTGGGTCTGAGGTTTAGGCTAGGCTCAGCCCGGCAGTTCTTCTGGTCTCTTCTGAGCTCACCCTCATCTGGGGAGGAAGATGGCGGCTGTTGGCTGCTCTGTCGGACCTTGGCTGGAATGACTGGGGCCTTGGCCTTGGACTAGCCCAGACAGGTTTTTTCTCACAGCCACAGTTGAGCCAAGGCAGAAAGATGCAAAGTCTCTTGAGTCCTGGGCTCAGATCCGGCGCACCATCACTTCTACCTGATTCGATCGGCCAAAGCAAGTCATATGACCAAGTCCAGTGGCAAGAGGTGGAACATGTCCCCGCTACTCTTCCACCCCCTCCACCCCTGCAATCAAAGGACACTGAAGAGTTACATGGCAAAGGGTGTGGCTACAGAACAAATACGCACTGCTGTGAAGTTGATTCCGACTCATAGCGACCCTATAGGACAGAGTAGAACTGCCCCATAGGGTTTCCAAGGCTGTAATCTTTACGGAAGCAGCCTGCCACATCTTTCTCCCACAGAGTCGCTGGTGGGTTTGAACCCCCAACCTTTGGTTAGCAGCTCAGTGCTTAAGAGCTATACTGCCTGGACTTCTTAAGGGTGTGGCTACAAGGATGAAGAATTGGGGCTGTTAATGCAATCATTCTATTACAGCGCCTGGCATTTGAATCCTAATTTCACGACTTAGTAGCTGTGTAACCTTGGGCAAATGAATTAACCTCTCTGTGCCTCAGCTTCCTCCCCTGTAAAAAGGGCCTAATAATAGCCTAAACTTTGGGAATTAAATTTCTGGGAATTGAGATAATGCATATGAAGTGCTTAGCACAGTGCAAGTGCTCCATAAATGCTGATTATTGTTATTACTGTGTTATAGAGTTCTATCAACAACAGTATTATTGTTCTAATAATAATAACACTGACAATTTACTGAGCCTCTAACCAAAAGGTCAGCAGTTTGAATCCACCAGCTACTCCTTGGAAACGCTATGGGGCAGTTCTGCTCTGTCCTGTAGGATCACTATCAGTTGGCATCAACTCGATGGCAATGGGTATGCCAGGAGCCAAGCTGGGTGCTTTACCACAGCCCTGTGAACTGGTCAGGGTGAGCGTTATTATCATTACTATTATGTCCATGTTAAAGACGGGAAAACTGAGGCCCAGAGAGTCATTGTTAGAAGGAGGGCCTCTGAGCTCGGGCCTCATTTCTAGCCCTAACCTGCTTCTCTCCATCCTAGGCCTCACCTTCCCTGATGGCGCAGGTACCAGGGGAAGTGGACAACATGGAGGGCCCACCTGCCCCGAACAATAACAACCCTACAACTCGCTGGGAGAGTCCGGATTGGGGCTGGGAGCGGGAGCAGCCGGTCGCCTCCACTGCAGCTGCCTCCCTCTTTGAGTGCTCCCGAATCAAGGCCTTGGCAGGTACCTGGGAGGCGTGGGCTGGAGTGGGAGAAGGAGAAGAGAGGAGAGGGGAGGTGTCTGCCGGGACAGTGTCTGAGCCCCTTAGTGCCACAGGACCTTGGTGGCTTGGAGGGTGGGAATAGAGTTGCAGACACTCAGAACTTGAATCTTTAGAACAGCACTGTCCAATAGAACTTTCCGCAAAATGTGAGAAAGATCTTGCTGTCCAAGATGGTAACCGCTAGGACATGTGGCTGTTGAGACCTTGAAATATGGCCAGTGCAACTGAGGTATTAGATTCTTCATTTTATTTAATTTGAACTCATTTACATTTAAGTAGCCACACATGGCTTGTGGCTGTCATATTGGGCACCACAGCCTTAGAGCCTCAGAAGTGTATGATTCCAAAAGTGGGGGACTTTGTAAGTATACTCCCTTAGGATCCTGAAATGGAAAATTTTCAGATTTTAGGACTCGGAACATCATACTCAGATAGTCTTCAAACCTTAGACTTTTAGAAACGGAGACCCTAGGAAAAATAGTTGTTCACAATCATCCAAACCAAAAACCAAACCCGTTGCCATCGAGTCGATTCCAACTTATAGTGACCCCACAGGACAGAGTACAACCGCCCCATAGGGTTTCCAAGGCTGTAAATGCTTACAGAAGCAGACTGCCACATCTTTCTCCCAAAGAGCGGTTGGTGGGTTTGAACTGCCCACTTCTTGGTTAGTAGCCAAGCACTTAACCACTGCACCGCCAGGGCTCCTTTTTATAATCTTAGCCCTGAGAAATTGTATTCATTGGCCCTTCCAATCTTTAATCCTTCGAAGCCTCAACTCTAATACTCACCGAACCTTGTTGCTGTGAGCTGCCATCAAGTCAAGTCCGACTGATGGTGACCTTATGTACAACAGAATGAAATGTTGCCACCATAGCAACACACAGGCCACCACAGTTCGACAGACTGACCGAAGGGTGGTGGATATAGAACCTTAGGACTTCATAATCAGGAATTTTAGAATCTCAGGTTAGCAAAATAGGGCCTGAGGACTTTGAGGTAGGGTGACCGACTTGTCCTGGTTTGCCTGGGACTGTCCAGGTTTTAGCATATTTTAAGCAGAGGCTGGATGTGATCAAGTGAGAATCAAGACATTTCAAATCTTCAAACCTCTGATTCAGAGAATCAGTGCTGGAGGCTTCCGAGAGCATACCTCAGGCATAGGCAAACGGGAACGGTTGTCCCTCTACTAGGACGTCTTAAAACAATATAAGCAAAGCCATAAAGAGAAACGAAGTCCTGAGACATGCCACGACATGGATGAACCTAGAAAATGTCAAGCTGAGTGAAATACATCAGTTGCACAAGGACCTTACTTAACTGTCAAACACCCATAGGAAGTGTATGAGCTCACTTATATGAAATAAGCAAATATATAGAAACCAGTGATTATTAGTGGCTACCAGGGGTGCGTTGTTGCTGTTGTTAGGTGCCGTGGGGTCACTTCCGACTCACAGTGACCCTGTGTGCAACAGAACGAAACACTGCCCCGTCTTGCGCCACCCTCACAATTGTTGCTGTGTTTGAGCCCATTGTTGCAGCCACTGTGTCAATCCATCTCGTTGAGGGTCTTCCTCTTTTTCGTTGACTCTCTGCTAAGCATGATGTCCTTCTCCAGGGACTGACCCCTCCGGATAACATGTCCAAAGTACATGAGACTCTCCATCTTTGCTTTCAAGGAGGATTTTGGCTATACTTCTTCTAAGACAGACTTACTTGTTCTTCTGGCAGTCCATGGTATATTCAATATTCTTTGCCAACACCATAGTTCAAAGGCATCAATTCTTCTTCGGTTTTCCTTATTCGTTTTCCAGCTTTCGCGTGCATATGAAGCAATTGAAAATGTCATGGCTTGTCAAGGCAAGGTCATGGAAGCTCCATAGACACATCCAGACTCCCTGAGGGACCGAATTACTGGGCTGAGGGCTGCGGGGCCATGGTCTCGGGGAAAATCTAACTCAATTGGCATAACACAGTTTATAAAGAAAATGTTCTACATTCTGCTTTGGTAAGTAGCGTCTGGGGTCTTAAAAGCCTGTGAGCAGCCATCTAAGATACTCCACTGGTCTCA